TGCTGGGGGTGGTGGTGGTGGTGGTGGTGGTGGTGGTGGTGGTGGTGGTGGCGGCGGTGGTGGTGGTGGCGGTGGTGGTGGCGGTGGTGGTACTGGTGGTGGTGGTGGTGGTGGTGGTGGTGGTGGTGGCTGGCGGTGGCGCTGGCGCTGGCGCTGGCGCTGGTGCCGGTGGTGCCGGTGGCGATGGCGGTGGCGGTGGCGGCGGCGGCGGTGGCGGCGGCGGTGGTGGCGGCGGTGGTGGTTGTACTGCTGCTGATGGTGACTGTGATCCTGACAATCATCACGACGATGATGATGCTCAAGAAAGATAACGGTCACAGTGATTCTGGTGAGCATGCATATTGCAAGCAATTTTCTGTTGTCCTATTTGCATTTACCCTTCAGGTCGGCTTTGAAAGCCGTATCAGAATGCAGAAGCCACTTTGACGTGATGTCCTTGTTGCCGAAAAGATGCCAAAAACAAGTGCGTTAAACCACCGCCAGTGCAGATTCCGCCGTATCAGAAATCGATGTCGCTTTGACATGGACGCCTTTCCAACCCACGATGGATCGTCGGAATCCCAATGAGCATCATTGGTTGGAAGATTGTTTGCGATGAGGTACTTGGCCTTCAGGCAGCAGCAAGGTTCATATTGTCTGTGCATCATGACATACTGTGCCATTACGTCCAAGGTCTGTTCCCGCACACGTAAGTTCCTGCAAACCCTGGTAAATGCTTTCAGCGTGCCGGAACAACAAAAATTGCACAATCAACGTCGTGCCTGCCAATGCAGCAAGAAGCTTTGCTTGTTGGCGGTGCTGCCGGTGTAGGAAGCCGCAGCCTTGCAATCACCAAATTCGTGTATCCAATGCTGCACCGATTTTCATGCGACATGCAGCTACACGCAGGCAGGCCTGGTCTGCAAAAACTTTCCGCGCAGTGACCACGCGCCAGTGACGCTGCACTCGGAGAGTGACCTTGAGGAGCTTCTCCTGGTATTCCTTCTCTGGCAGGTCCTCCAAGGGTGCTGCGTGCATCCTGAACCGAAAGAAATTCTTGGCTTCTCTTCGAGCCTCATATCCTTTACTATTTGCGAACCATGGCAACACTGCGGCCGCCGGCGCCTGAGAAACACAGCATGCACGCACACATAGAACAAGACTCGAGCGCAAAGAGAAGTTGAAGCACATCAAACAGCATGAACATCCGCACTGAGTGGCCAAGCCAGCATCCAATAGGTGCAACCTAGGATCGTGAAACAAAGCTTCATTCCTCGGCGAATCGTCTTCCTTCTTGCAGCACCTGCACCTCCAGCGGCGAGAAAACATCAAGCAATGATGCCGCTACCCAATCCAGCATGCTGCTAGTAGGCAAAGTCAAGCTATGTTCTGCTAAAATCTGGCTCAAACAAATTGAAAGTTCAGTTGCAGATCGGTCCAAACTAAGACAAGCGGCGGCTCATTTCCCATTGGCTGCGTTCTACGCTGAACGATACCAGTCGATATTTAAAAAACATGTTGCAGGACTGGGATCTAAACAGCAGAACGCGTAAGCATGTGTTGCAAACACCCGTTGAATAAAAGACGGCACAAAACACATAAATATAAAGAGTACATAAGGCATGTACATGCGTCATTGGCCACCGGAAACTGAAGTTTGAGCCGGCGAAATGTTGAGGCAACTTGCACCACCCTGCAAGACCTGACAGAATACTCATGGTGTCAAGCAACAAGATGCTTGCGGCGATCGCTCTCAGCTGCTCTGCTCAAGAACCGCCCATCATGCCTTGATGCCTGTGCCATCGGTTTTCAGCGTGAAGACAAACAATTGGAAAATCTCGCTAAGCAGTGAACTCAGTCCGGTACGCTTTGCCCGGTCCCGAGATCCAGTCATCAAAGATCTTCTTAAAATCTCTTCTGCTGTAGAACTCGAAAGCATTCACTAACGTAGTTCCACGACATCGAACGTTCCATCGATCGACGAACTTGTCATCGTAAATTGTTTTGATTGTGCTCCACTCCTGCAGGCAACAGCCACTTGTGAAAGGCATCCGGACTTGAGGGCCTACGTTAACTATGAGAAAGGAAGGTCAGAAACTTGTCAGTCTCAAAGAATGTGACATGTGCATGTTGCGCCTCCTTCGGGCATTGCACGTAGATATCTCGCTCGACCCACTGGCATGCATCCATTGTGAAAGAGGGCCACTGCAGGTGGTATTTCAAGAGCAGCTCAGCCGGATCAATGCGCGGACCACCGTATCGCTCGTATTCGTCACCTCAAGCTTACTCGAACACTGTGAAGCCAAGCTAGACGACATCCGACAGTACATGTACCGGGCTTGGGAAGAAGACTGTGAAAAGGCATCACACTTGAGGGGCAAGTCGCGGCTGACGTAAAGCTAGCCAGGCCTTCAGCCAGGCCTTCAGTACTTCTGTACGAAAGGAGGAGGGGAGATTGATGCAACCACCAAGCACGATGTTCTTCGCACCAGGACCACGTGAGGGAAGTGAACACTACAAAAAGAAGGCAGGTTTGACAGGGAACTGTTACGCAATGTTCTGCTGCTTCGCGCTCGGCAGCAATAGTACTTAATTTGAACACACTGTTCAACAACAGCGCACATTGGAGCATAGCCAAATGCTTCGCGACAGCTGGATGGCCAACGTTGGGGAAACTTCAGTGAAATCTTGAACGAGGTCCAGTCCGCTGCCAGGGTGTAGCCGCCAGAGCAACAGCAGTGGTAACACGCTATTGCTTGCACCAGCAAGACGGGTAGCGGTGCTACTAGTCTTGCTACCTGAGAAAAACAGTGACCATAAAGTTGAAACAATCTTGATGACCATGATGTGTGCACAACATCAAGATGAGCGCGGCAGCAAATGATGATGGCAATAACGACAATCCGATCACAAAGGGAGCTACTGTAATCTATTCAGCTAGACAAACAAATAAGCTAGAATAGTGTGGCAACAATCGATACAGGGGCGAGTAGTCTGCCAGCAGCGAGTTATGTTACAGTCGCAGCGAGAACTAAAAGGAATAGCAATAGCAATGACGGTACGAACAAGAAGGGCAGCACCAAAACCTGCACAATAAAACTCTTGAGAAGTTGTGATGACGACTGTGCCAAGCATTGTGTATCAATCTCAAGGTAGCTGATCTTCATCTGGGCTGCTGTTAAGGAACTCTATTTAAGTTTCTATATTGGGGAAAGCATACTAATTGCTTTGTTCTACCCATTATGGTAACTTTGTTTAACATCCTTAACAGCAACACAGCCATGTATGTGAGCTATGGTCTAAACCCCTAGTATGTCCCCTAATAACCCCTATAATACTCTCATATATACTCCCCTATAGAAGCCCCTTTAAGGAGCTCAGATTATGGCTCATGCCTGAGTAGCGGACAGAACATTCTCATCAGGCCCTCTTCGTGAGCATCGAGTAAGTCCGCATCAGCACCACTGAGACATCCCATGAAGTTCCTTGAGGGTTTATGGTTTAGGGTTTCATAGGGTCGATTTGAAAAATATTGTTTAGGGTTTGAGGTGTTTAGGGCACAAGCTTCAGAGCTGGATGGGACGTATAAGACGGGACGATAGACAAATATCTTACAGTGACGGGCAGTGCAACCCTTTGCCACGGCAAGGATTCATCAAGCACACTGACAAGCACCCATAAATGAGACATCTGTTTTCTAAATAAGGGAGTGCCCCTCCCCAACCCAAAAAGAAAAAACAACGAATAAGAATCCATTTGTTTGGGCTATAACGGACTCAAAATGCCTCAGCATGTGTTTACTTGTTTCAAGTTCCGCAGGCCCAGAAACCCAAAACACCCGACTTGGAGTCTCGTCTCAGGAGAAACTACTCTGCGAGTCCTTACCTGTGGCGGTACAGCCTACATGCCAAATACCCACCACTTGACCTCGTTTAGCAATTCTTGCGACAACATGCAACAATTGATGACTGGGGCGGTGGTGAGCTCATGAAATCTGGATGCAGAACACGCTGCGGAACAGGCCATGTCAAATTATACGGGCGTAACGTGCTCACTGCCCAACAAACAAGCAGAAACGACTGCATCGGTGCAGATCTTCAGCGTGTCACTCACTGCATCATGCGTTGCATTAGACTCTTGAAGATCTACACGCTGGTTCTTAGTGCAAACAGTCTCAAACCTGGAAAGAACCATCGAGCGGAGAGTTCACGTATCGATTTCATGAAGTTATATTCCGTGAAGCGAGCATGCGGCTTAAATCTGATGCGCTTTCTTTGTGTGTCACGGTCGATTCATCGTGACAGCAAGTAGGATCGCCACAGCATAATGTTCTGTATATGCATGGGCCCGCTCTTCGCTGACCTTATCGCATCTTACTCTCCTAAATCAAAGGCAGTGTGTGGCACACACATCACAAACTACGCATGCAGTGAGGAAGATCCAAGAGCCTGTGAAGGCAGCATGATCTATGGGAACCGTGAAGACAACACCTGAACAGCTTATGCCTTGAATGCTTGAGATGCTACCATCCCCAGCCACTTGTTTGAGTACAGGGCTGGGGGATTACCTGCCAGGCCTTCAGCCTGGGCAACCTAACCTTCTCATTGCACCAAGGTACCCCACAAAAGCAGTACGGCTAAAGCCGCACCAATCAAAGACTCCGACATCCAGGTCACCGTTCTCATCGTGCCAGAAGTAAGCCTCGAGAAGCTGCCACAACGGGAGCATGGTATGTTTTGACCGCTTTGACCCTGGACAGATGCCTTTTCACGTCTCTCCATGCTGTGCATTCTCAGTAGCGTTGTCTGCTTGGAGATTCATATGCATTGCCGCCACCCAATCACTCGAGTTGGCCACATAGAGCCTGTTTGTTTCATTGTAAACACACGGGGCAATCAGGTGCGTTGTGACCGGTTGCAAGCAGACCTGAACAAAGACCTGACTGACCGATAGCAGTGATGCCTGATATCGTCAAAATGAGGGGCAATTTCCGTGATCTCCTCAGCTTGCTTACCGCAGGTGCCTTCAAGGTCTTACAGGAGGTGTGCTTAGAAAGCATAATTTCAAGCATGCAGGTTTATGCAGTGCCCGTGCAAAGGTGAGACATCCTGGACATCGTGTAGCCATGCATATTGGAGACTGCTCACTTCCGCAGATTGTGGCCGGGATGCCTTCATCAGCTTCTCTAATTTCTTCTTGTCACGACCTGCACTTGGGCGCACCTAGACTACTGCTGCTCAATCAGAAGCGGCAACGTGTACGAATCTGTCAGCAAGCGTTTGCAAAACAGCTTGCAAGTCAAGCATTGCGATGTGGCTTTTCATACTTTTCTGTATCAAAGCCTTGTTCTATCCCCGTCTTATAGATAGTCAGGCATTGAAAACCAGTAGCGACGATCTTGAACCGCGCATCGAGATCCCTTCCCCAACCTTGACCTGGCTGCTAGAATAAGAAGAAAACGACATACGACAACGACGACGACGACGACGACGACGACAACACTAACACTAACACTAACACTAACACCAACGACGCCAGCAGCAGCAGCAGCAGCAGCAGCAGCAGCAGCAGCTCCTGCTCCAGCTCCTGCTCCTGCTCCTGCTGCTGCTGCTGCTGCTACTGCTACTACTACTACTACTACTACTACTACTACTGCTGACAAATGGTGCGATGATAAAATCAAACCGGAACTCCTCACACCCTTGGATTAATGGGGCGATCCTTGGACAAATGGGGCGATGAATAATGAGAAAACGCCCCAGGGAAGCCTACTTAAAAACCGCACTTTTCTGAAAAAGTGTCCACAATCGGCCCGAACGTGCTATAAAACGCACAAACAACTCAGACCAACAATACTGGGCAAGTGGATGACGCAGAAAAAGCGCAGGAGGACTTTGCTCAAAAATGGCGCGAAACATAAATGCGACCGTTACCTAGTCGTAGTAGTAGTAGTAGTAGTAGTACTAGTAGTAGTAGTAGTAGCAGGAGTAATAGGAGGAGTAGTAGTAGTAGTAGCAGTAGTAGTACTGATTTAATTTTTATCATCGGCCCATTAGTCCAGGGTAAGCCCTATTAGTCCAAGGATATGAGGATTGCTGATTTAATTTTAAAATCGACCCATTAGTCCAGGGTACGCCGCAGGTTTCTGCTTGATCCACTCGCCGAGCATTTTTGGTCTGAGTTGGTTGTGCGCTTTATAATGCGTTCGGTCCTATTTTGAGCGTTTTGAGAGGAAAAACTCATTTTTTGAAATAGGCTTCCCCCAGGCTTTTTCTCATTATCATCGCCACATTGGGCCAAGGTTCGCACCATTAGTCCAAGGTTCGCCCCATCAATCCAAGGGGGTGAGGAATTCTGATCTAATTTTTTCATCACCCCATTAGTCCAAGGCTCGCCCCATGAGTCCAATGGTTGGAGTTCTGATTTTGCTTTTTATCCAAGGGATCGTTTCATCCCTGACTCTGACTGGAGCCAATATCAACGATGCAGACATTTCAGCTTCCGCGGTCTGAAAGCATGTTCAACAAGAAAAGCCCCGAAACAGAGAAGGTGAACTGAGGCCATGAGAAACCTACGAGTGTTAGTCATTACTGCATTTTGGGGCTTGCGATGCAACGAAAATGTACTGTCACGAACGTACCCGGAGCCTAATACTACTAATTACTGGTGCTGCTGCTGCTACTGCTGCTGCTACTACTACTACCTCTTCTACTACTACTACTACTACTACTACTGCTGCTGCTGCTGCTGTCAAGAATGATTTTCTTCGAGCGGTCCCCCAAATCAGAAAAAGTCATTATGCGAATCTACATCAAGCAGCTCAGGCTGAAACAAATCAGGAGGAACACAAATTGCTTGCCTGCTGGCGTGAAGATCTGAGAGCCCACGTTCAACGCGAAGTCGACTCCCTTCTCGATCATTGACTTACCTTGTGCAAAATAGTGCTGAATCTCTTGCGCTCTGCTCTTCAGCACAAGTCAACGTCTCAATTGTGCAAACCAAACAGAGCTTGACGCAGAGACTGCGTAGAATACCTCCCAAGGACCCGGCAGCCACCCTTGAACACATCCAGCTTCTTTTGTTTCTGCGGCTTTCGCACTCGAACTTGAGTGTTCAGGAAGTCCTGCAGGGAGTTGATGGCAAAGCCAATGATTTTCCCAGACCGCCGCGGAACTCCTCCTCGGAATACCTGGTCATGGGGCCCAAAACGGAATCATAGCGACCTTGATGATCCCAGGCTGCCAAGTGCGCCATCTCGCCTGGCACAACTCACCATCTTTGGACAAACGTCAGACTCAACAAGCCCGTCCCAACCACAACATCTGCGATGGAAAGCACCATCTGAGCATCCAACGGAACAAAGCGTAGTAGATGCTGGGAGCATCCTCCAGCAAGTAATCCTGCGAAGCAAGGCTGTGGAACAGAAGGGGGCCTGTGTTGAGTTGTACTTCGTCTTGGCGCACCATAACATCCCACTGGGCTGCCAATTCATGATGTCTCCCTTTTCAACAGCATTGCAGAATACCCGGCGTCGATGCTGATTGCCGACATGCTGTGCAGCTCAACACTTGCTGGGCCGTACCAGCTTACTGCTAGGGCGGGGCACAGCGTTGCGTGCGCACTTTTGCAAATTCCCAAGTGTTTTTGGGAGAACGTGGGCAGATTCTATGCAGCTCAGCAACGGCACATGGAGCAGTCCCTGCTCTCCTGGTACTTGCCGCACACTGGCAGAATCTCGAACGGCTTCCTTTCAATCTTCTCTGTCACCTTCCCGTTCACCACCTGCCAGCCATGATGCAAAACACCAGAACGGTGAGGTCCAGCCAAGAAATCGACGAGCAGCCTTCCCACGTCTTCCAAAGGGAATGCGTTCCACAATGAGGACCTGGACGGCATCAGTTGACTTTCACACAACCACCAACAAATTCTCACTGATCTTAAGTGAAAGCCAGGGGCGTAGTTTGTGGTGTCTCGATTGATGTCAGCAAAGTACAGCTTTGGTATCCTGAAAGGAAACCTCAGGAGCCATGCTGACAGCCGCGCTGAAGCTTCAGGCGAGGCAGAACACTTGCGCCTGTTCCATAAGGCTCAGCACCCCTTCCTGCTGTTTTACCGACATGTGCACCAGGAAGAGACAATCTCAACAGCAACAGTAAGCCCGATGCTGATGCATCAACGGTGCCAAGCCACAGGTGCTCGCAGGAGATGTTGGTCAAAAGCTCCAGGGAATCCATGTCTTGGTACGTGGATATTTGCATTCGGTACCGCCTTGGCAACACATCCCGCTTGAGGAACTCCAAATTCTAACCTTTGGGAACCATTGACTTACAATCTTTCTCTAGCAGAAAGAATGTGGGAAGAATAGCCCATGTTTCCTCAAGTAGCCACGCCATAGTACATCCTTCAAAGACGACTTTGCCCGGTCCATACCAAGGCACTTCCCCGTCTCTGATTCGAAAAAATCCCAAGGGTACTTGGCAAAGAGCTTCGTGTGCAGGTTTGGATCTGGCCTCAGAGCATGGCCACATTAGCTTGCTGCCTTGCTATGGCTCCATTTTGTCACGGTCGAATGACACTGAAATGGTAGGATCAAGAGCACGAGGCTAACTTTAAGGGACCTAGACCTTTCAAACACGATATTGAAAGAATGCTGCGATGCGAGCATCATCCGAACATAATCCCCTCACCAGTGAACAGTGGTCTAGTCTGTGACACTTAGAAAGATGACTCCCCTCTTCACAAACATACAAGCGGATGCCAGGGAACATCAAATAGAAGTCGGCAAAGGGAGGCCAAGCATCCGGTTGGAATGGCCGCCGGAAACGCCCAAACGCTTCATCCCTACACCGCCATTGCGTACTCCTACATCGTCCCTATGCGAGTTCGCATCCTCCAAGCTACAACGATCCCTCAGAACTTCAAGACACAATCCTTCCCTCTAACCCTTGAATCTCCAACCTGAGCCCTGCGCTTTGCATACTGAAGCTCAATGAAGGCCTGTCATGCGGGGGCTTCTCACACAGGGCCATTGGGGTTTGGGGCTTGGGAAATCATGTGAAATCTAGGGCGTAAGCGTAGGGTTTTGTAACTTCCCGAGATAAGGACCACAGGGATCTCTGCGAATACATGAGAAATACCAAGGGGATTCAAGGGATATCTGCAGGCTTTTGCGAGTAAAATATGGATTTGCAACACAATCTATCTGCGACAGTTTTCGTATTGAATTTTTTCTGGCATGACAATTCAGAAGAGGGGTGGTGAAACATCAAGTCCGGACATGCTGTGTTGACATTTAGGATCCCTGTCGTGAAAACATAGCCGAACCTGGACTGTTGCATGTACATTAACAACTATGACTGGGATGCAGCTTCGATTTTGCATGTCTGTGTCTGTATACTGGGGGAGGGGTTCACCAGCAAACGATGCCACTAATCGTAATCCTATTCGTTGTTTTTCTCTTAGTCGCGCCTGTATGACAAATGCCCAGTTGCTCCAGCAAGCTACACACTTCAACACTCTAAAACTATTGCAGAGGTCCTTGTGGCCCGCCCCGCCGGCGGCCTCGACGTGTAAACAACGAAAAATCTTGCCGCATGCTGGCAGCGCTCACACTAAGTGCGCGGCATCAAAGCCAGAATGTGGAAGTTGCTCAACATGCACAACCTGGCATTGACGCCTAGGTCTGGGTCCATTACAGTAGCTTAGAGGACCCAGAAAGAAAGTCAACAATCACCACGAAGGAAACCCTGCAAGATCCTTGTTAATGCTTTTTCCGGAAATCATTTTCTCCTGACTGCCGATGATTTCTGTCTCTCCGAGACTGCAATGAACCAGAGACGGTGCAACACCAGGCCGAACGACAAAAGCCTCTTGGAAGATGTATTACTTGCTTGGTAACTCTTCTCCTACCCCTCACTCCAAGAAGGTGCAAAACACATTGATCTGTAGCGCATGTGCCCCATCCAAGTCGTTCAAGCGCGCAGTTGTTTGGCAGTGTCATAACCCTGATGCTACATGAAAAGCTGGGATGCCACAAATGAATCCGAACATCGCTGATCTAGCCAGCCTTCACCACGCTGTTGTCCGATGGAAGAGTTCCGAACCTTAGTGCAAACTGCCACAATACAGGCGCCAAATGAGTGGCATGACATTGCACATCTAGAATTGACAAGCGAAAAGAGGAAGCACACCCGCCGACCGGAGCTACCAAGTGAGGCTGCGCAGTTTTGATCAACTTTAGTGCGAGCAGCATCTATCGGTAGCACTAATTGAGCAAAACCTATCTTGCTCACTCAAAAATACGAGTATCCGCTTGAGTAGTCCTGACGTAGACTCGTGCAATCAGGAAGCTTGTGGAACGCCTGGGTGTACCATGAAGGCCCAAAAGACTTGAGTTGCTCAGCATTGTGAGGAAACTTCAAGCCGGAAAAGTGGCCTTCGAACAAGCAGGCCATGCGAATCCGGAACACAAGCTGGACAACTGCATGAAAGTGCTATGGTTACGCACATATATACATATTTATTTATTTATCTATTTATTTCGGTCGATGCTCGTTTGCTGCTAAAAGCCATCAAAATCTGACTGACAAATGAAGCCACCCACCTGGCAAGTTCTTCAGCGACATCTCCTTAGCGCAGAACACCACTCGTATCGCAGTGCCGCAACCTGCCCACTGCCTTTGCTTCTTGCAAACCTAGTGCGAAAGGTACCCAGTCAAAAAGATTGACTCACAAGGGCCTTGGCAAATCGCTCTTTGCTATGACATCAAAAAATCGAAGAACCCTACCTGCGCTGCTGGAGTAGGTTGCTGTCACACTGCGCAGCAGCATCAAAGAACGACTGAGGCGCAGGCTGCCATATCCTGAGAGCACACGGATAGAAGGTTCAGGAAGCAAAGCAGGCACACTCCTTCAACCATCAGTGGCCGTGCAACTACCAGGTCTATTCATGACATGTCTTCTAGTCTTCTTGGCTAAATCTGCTCGCCAAGGATCTTTAGGGCCCAGTCGCTTGAAAGGCGGCAGCATATCCTTTGGCTGCACCTGATCATTTCATCATGTGAGTTAGGTTGATCAAAAAACACATTGGATACCGCGGAACAGGAATTCTGCGCTGACATCTAGAAGCCTGCCACCTTACCTTGAATCGCTCGCGCACATCTTTTATGCAGATTTCCTTAACGTCTCGAGCAGATCTGACCCTGCCTGCCCCTGTAATCGCACTGGCGTTTCAACCTTGGTTGTGTCAGGGCAGCATCAAATGCGATTGGAACGCTGCGATGACGCATGCCAAGTTTGAGCTGCCCACCGTACGCGATCATGGTTCTAAGTTTAGCTCAGGGCTCTTAAACGACCAAGCAAACGCCCCACTTAAATGATCTTTAATTCTCCAAGACCACCCCACTCCAGCCACGAGTTTTGCCTTGCGCGGGCTTTCGTAAACAATTGCGGGAGCCACGCGGAGCAGAGCGCGCAATAGCGTGCTTTACACAAGAGAAAAGCTCCGGGTGAAATGTAGTTAGACGCTACGCCCGACATCCACCAAGCAGCCTTTTCCTAAGCTTACCCACCAGAGAATCTCATACAGTAGCCTCGATGTCCAAGCTCTTCTTGGACTCTGGCACCTACGATACGGCCCTGCCTCTTAATCTTACTGCAGCAAAGCGACCGGAGGAGGCAGCACCTTTCGCCCCTCACGAAAGGCACCTCGGCGCGTGAATGTCATGAATTAGCACAGTATCTTTGAAGAGTTCAACCAGTCAATCTCAAATTCTTAGTGCTGGCCCAGCCACGCATCTTCTCGGTAGATTCCTGCAAGGATCGGCAGCAGAGCTACGTAAGATACGCAATTGACCAAACAGTGTCACGGCACGTTTGGAACCCTATCTAGATTTTAGACCAGGCTCTGCAAGGCCCAGAAAGGAGTCATCAGCATGTTCGACGTGAAAGCTTACGCATTGTGCAAGTGTGAAAGGGGAAGCGCATGATACCAAACGGAGCCTCAAGAAGTGGAAAAGCCAAGCACAGTTCAGTCCACTAAACCCTATTCCGATTCCATGTTCGTGCCGTGCCCTCAACGTCCTGGCCCTCGCCAGGCAGAGCGAACTAAAATTGCCTAAGCAACCTGTGTGGCAAAAGCATCACTTGAAATGACTGCCTCTTTCCACTTCGCCGGAATTCCATTTGTGTCGCCTTGATCACGTCGCACCGCCAGCTCCTCTGCTTTGACGTCAACCCTACACCTATGCGTCTCGCCAATCAACTGCTACACCAGACGTGCCGTGCTGTCAGTGCTTCTTAGATTCTAGAGGGCTTCAAATGAAAAGTAGAAGTGTTGCAATGAGTGCCGTCCTTGCCGGAGATTCGAATGCTGATCCACCCTGCCGACAGCACATCTGCGCTTAGACACATGCAAGTGGACGTCATGGCTTGAAACACCGCAGATCGACACCAGAGCTTCTTCTAACCCATCAAAGGAGCTTCTTCTAACCCACCAAAAGAGCGCTGCTTGCATGCATCTGAATACTACCAATAATTGCTCGCGAGCGTGCACACCTCAAAGCTGCTCTCCTGCAGATGCGAGTGTTTGATCCCCATTTGCAAACTGCAAGGCCTTCTTGAGGCCCCCGACCACTGTGGAGCTTGTAGTGAAGTCGCTCTCCAACCAGTTCTAACTCCTGCAAGCGGACTAGCTCTTAAAACACAACGCTTACGGCGAGCACATGGATGCACGGCTTGCCTTCAATCCAGCATTAATACAGAACTGACTTTCATGTTGGATGGGTTGGAGTCTGGAGTACATGGGAGTTGGGCGACTCCCTTTGTCCCAGTCCATCTAGTAGATAACCCCCCGCCCTGTAGCCAGGTAAACTTTGTGCATCCTGGTTAAATGCCCGCTACCAGAAAGTGAACACTGGCAAAACATCAGCCACCTAGCAAAAGTATAGCAACAGCTCCTCAACGATTGCCTTCGTCGACAATCGCTCTACCTCCTGTCGGTACAAAAGGAGATGCTCCCCATGCAATTCATCGTTTCCCGTAGCTTGGCCTGGGGCGACTTCAACTCACGCCCTTCGCGTACCTCAACGGACGAGAGTCTCATCTAAAGACGAAAGACACATCCTGCATACTTGGCAGGAACCCAAGATTCTGCGCCGAGGTACGACGATGCCTCCAGACTCGCCGCCACCAACAATCTCCCACTGCGTCATGCCTTTGCCAGAAGCACTATTTGAAGAGCAGAACCCCTCCTGCAACAGCCTTCTCCTTCTTTACACCTCCATGTTCCTAGAAAAGCGGCCTGTGCGCGTAATAAGAAATGCATCAAAGCACATCCACACAGTATGGCAACCGATGCGCGCCTTGGGCTTTGCAGCAGAGAGAAGGGAGCGACCAAGCAGGTCTATGGCAAAATTGTGCAGAACAGCTGTGGATGCTCTGGCATAGTCACGAGTTTCGGCTTTGGGGGCCAACTAGGGCTGCAGTTCAGGGCTGACAAAGAGCGGACGACTGAGTCGCAGTGATGCTGATCGATTGACTTCACCAGATTCACAGACTATCAGGCACATCATGCTGCGCCTGGTCAACACTTACCGCGAAGACTCAGAATGGTGTGGGTGACAGGTCAGATTTGCTGGCATGCCCTCCGTTTTTCAAGGGATGAAGGCGTTCGTCCAGATTCGTTGCCTCATGTGCAATAAATTGGCTTAAGCCAGTGGGCTGCCGAACACAGCATGCCAGGCAGTTTCCCTGCAAAGTTAGGCTCTGGGTCATCCGAGGTACGTTGTAGTATTCAAGTTCGACAAACTTTAGACACTGATAGGTCACGTTGCCATAGAACATGAAGATGCTGAGCAGCACCCTACAGAACCACACTCTGTTTTCGTCGGCGGCATAGACTCATTCCACTTCACCTCCTGCAGACAAGCATGAGTAGCTTGCGAACATACCGCACCGCAAGAGTTTCAGGTGTTGCATGCTTCGAAAATTGATAGGGGCTTGGCAAGAAGTGTTGTCGAGCCCGCACGCATTTGAATCCTACACCTTGTGTAGCAGATATCGTGAACCCATCCACTTCAGCAAATGGAGTTGCGGAAACCATAGGACCATAGCGCGTTGAGAAACACGCGCAGAACCACCCTTCTGGCTTTTGCGCCAGCCACCGTTACAAACAGCCTCCTGTTTCATCAAGTGCGAATCACACGCCTGCATAACCACCTTTCCTCGCAGTGTAGGTTGCAGAACCTTCACAAGGGCTGCAAGCAGTACATGTTCCATTGCCCTGATTGCAGATAAGCAAGACACTTGTCAGAGGAGAATGCTGCAATCAATTCAAAGTTGCTGTCCAGGCTGCTCGCAGCTTTCAGGTCATCGACCTGCTCCGCTTGACCTCATGAGCACATGCATGCCGTTGTGATCATGAATTACATCCCCTCCAGGCTCCAAAAAGGCTGCAATCGACAGGGCTGTATCAGCAAGTGCCTTTCATCTTAGAATCTGGGTGGAGAACGCGTTGTCGCTTCTACATGCGCACGCCAGGCCACGGCCTGAGTCTCACTCAAACCCCAGTGTTGGCTTCTCTGATACATCAGCCTCTGCAATGCCTTCTCCATGCCGAGTTCTAGTCAAACAGAGACGTCGCAGCATTTGTCTGGGACTTCTTCCATGTGAAGATTGCTTGGATAGTCTGTAGAATCTGTTGGGTGAGAACCAGCTCCTTCAGATCAAAAGCACCTCAAAACCAATTCATACAGACTTTCTCTCTGCAACAATGCCAACAAGAGTGTAGTTGCTGCAAGAAACACTTGTCAACCTAATTAGATTCATGTCATGCTTACCGCTAGGTCTGGACGAGGCCAAATCAGCAATAGAGAACACAGAGCTCTTTCAGGTGCCACAGTCTAAGAACTGGACACCAGAACCTTCTCGACCTTGAACTGTCCTGGGCGCTAGCAAAGCCGGGGACCGAGTTGGCTAGACAGAGAGTTTCGATCCATGCATGAAGGGCAGCACCATCATCGTCCTCAGCTTTTTTCGTTTCATCCCGTAATCAAAGTTGAACTTTCAGCTCCTTTGACATGAAATAGAGGAAGCCCGAAAGTTGTGAAGTGATGAAGTTGTAGTTAAGTCTAGTCTAGCCAGTGATATCGTGAGGGATGGAGATCGCAAGCGGATTACGAAATACGGTGTGATCCGCTTAGGAATTGCATAGAGGAACCATAAACCAAGGCTGGAAAAAGCAGGAAGGTTTCAAAAGCAATTTCTTCTGCAAGAGCCAATGCAGAACAAAGCAACCGTCCTTTGTAGCGCAGTCGCTCGAATTCACAAGTGCCCTAACCATACTGGCAACTGGAAAGCGTGCCTCCGAATGCCTTCCCTCCCCGACTTCAAACAAATTCGGCTCGCCGAGAATGCATTGCACATCTGCTGCACTTGATTGTGTCAAGTCTGTTCTCAAGCAACTTCATCAAAACCGTTTCGTAGAAAACCAGACCATGGTGTGTTAAGCCCACAACCGTCCATCCACTGACAAAGGTGGCAAGGAATTGAAGTAGGCACACTTGCGTTCTGCCTGCTCAGGGCAAAATGATGCTTTGCAGAAGTTGTTGCCAGCTTATTGGCTGCAAGATGCTAGTTAGAAAGCACAGGAAATGTGAACATCTACTTGTGCCTTCTCAATCGTAACATTGTAGTAGATGTCCGTTCTCTCCAGCAGATTTGCAGGGTCACCGACAACTGCGGTTCCGCCCGCAACCTGGCATGCATGCGCAGTCTGACTCCCAGGATTCCACCAAAGCACGATATTGAGGCACACATGAGCTTTGGATTTGAGAGCGTTGGGCGTTGCTCGCCCAAGCCAGTTTCTTCAAACAGGTCTTGCATGCTTCTCGCCTTGCAGGGGAACCGATCAACACAGAAGTTTCAGCTTCTGCTGACACCACATGTGCACCGTCAAGGAACGGTGGACGCTCAGAAAACATTTGCATCACCTCACCAGTCGAATGATGCCACCAACTCTTGCCAGGGTGTCGTCGTACTGACTTACCGCCATACCGCTCAGCCTAAGCAGTCTCAAACCAGACTGTCAAGCATTCCATTGCAAAAACCTTTCGCTGGGATGCAAGCGCATAGCAGGTGTGGTAGAAGTCAGCCGATTTGCCAGGTTTGTCCCGAAGTCCGCCATTAGGGTGCTGACCTTATCGCAACTCTCTGCCTTTGGCGATGCTGCAGCACAGCCCTTCAACATGCGCGTGTCGACTTCAAGGTATGGTGCTGTGTCTTCGAGTTGCCATACATCAGAGTAGTTCGTTTTTGCATGTCGGTCACTGCATGCACTGAGACCAAGGCATGCAAGCAGGACATAGGTTTGTAACCTCGTCTGTCAGTAGGCATAGACTCATGCTCAAGAAGCAGCTTGCTGGCAGGTTCCTTGCGACTCTTACCCGTGCTCCTTTCAACTGTTCCTGACAGAATGTAAGCTTCCGGCGGAGGTGGAGCGAACCAGCAGTGGTCCGCTGGCAACGCAACTTCCTCACCTCTTAACACGACCGTCTAGACTTTGGACTGTTGATTAAAGAGCACGTACACAAACACACCCTTTGCAGGATAGCTGCGCACAGACACAGACACACACTGCCTGCAAAGCGAGAGCGTTATTTCGCTGCAAGACAAGCCCGTAAGACGACCGCGCCTTTCTGCCGGAAGGCTTCGTGCAACAGCGGAAAGATGGCACCCTCACAGTCTGAGTGTCAGATGGTGAAAGAGCTTCAACATAATCCAGGACGACCTGTTTTCACTCATTTCACTCTTTCAAATAAGACTTTGTAGTAAAGCATGAGTAAATCTGCTGTCAACCTCGGCACAACTCCAACACCGACAGTGCTACAAGTACTGCTGAGGCTACCTGCACTAACCCACATGCGCCTACATACCAGGTCTTGAGCTCAATGCCCAATAAAGGACTTAATGCCAAGCGCCCTGCCTGCCAGAAGGAATAACAAGAATCCACCAGTTTGTTGGCTCGCCCCTGAAATCCGCCCTCAGCCGTGTCATGGAACGCATGGCAAGACTCCAATCTTATGTCGACAGCAGCTGTCAAGCACAGGTCTTGCTGAGTATGGCACCTCACGGGTCATCTGCTTGTGCACGGCCCACTTGAGAAAAGCATGGAGGTCTAAGGCGTCAGCTCTACCTGAAACAACTGGCACTGTCACCGAACTGAATGAAGGTCTTCCCAGCACTTGCACAGCTGGCAGACGAACCCTTTGCTGCACACACTTTGTTCTTTTAGTGGGCGGCCGCCAGACATCCTTGGCCCTCCGTGCTCATCTTAGCGATTCACCACTTCAGAAAGGTCCTGCCTGCAATGCAGAGCGCAGCCAACCCGCAGTAGGAGTAACCTCCATGCGCCTGGAAAGCGGATTGGAAGGCACCGTTGCTTCTTTAAAAGGGCAAACTGTTCACAAGTTGTTGTTTTCAGCTTCTCTGTGTCTGAGCTGTTCTACTCGCGCACCTCAATCGAAGCCCAGGTCAACTCAACTGTGAAGTCCAGGCCTCTAAACCCTCCTCACCAGCAATACCCCCTTCCCATGTCTGACCTGCGGAGCACCATGTGTACGCATCTGACTCGGCACGCGAAGTTGCACTGAGCCCGCGACATCTGCGAATGTATTCTGGCACACCCTCCAGCAGCTCATCTGTGAGAAGATGAAGCATGGAAGCTGTGGCAATCGCCTGGCTGCGTGTTTCCAGGACAGAGTGAACACTTGGCCGCAAGCGTTTTTTTCCTCTCAAGCAGGGCTTCAGGCAGCTTGCTGGTGCGAAGTGCAGAAAGTCTGTCACTGCTCTCGTGTTCTGACTGCTGAGGACCAACTCATCTCTTTAACAAGCTGCTGATAGCATCTGATAGCAGCCGTCCCATCTGGGCGTCCCACGCAGTAGCAGCCGCGCATGTCTGTCTCTCCTTCATCATGCCTGGGCACATGCTTGCAGCAACGCAGCATTCCTTCCACTTGCGCTGCTTGGGATCCGGCATCTTGAAGCCGCCCTGGGGACCTCATGCGAGAGCGGAGAATAAGACTGCATAATGGCAGTTAGCAGTAGGTGTAGACTCAGACATTTCGAGTTGCGACAACACACACAAGGGCAGGTCGCAAGGATTCCCCCAAGCAGCGAGCTCTTCATTCGCATGAGAAAGCTGTACATTGTCGAGCGGTCGACCGCCTGCAAAATGGGAACCATCAAATGTCCAGCCAAAAAGATAATTCATCGCAGTGATGAACAACCGCAATCTTCAAAGAATGGATTGCCCACAAGCTCGCTCTCGTTTCGCTTATTACGGGCAGCAAAGCAGCTCGTGCTTGAGCTGCATAGTCACAATCATCGAGGCCTTGTACGCGGTCTCGGAGCCAGCTAAAACCTCGAAGCTGCTTCTGAATGCCAGATAATGCGCCGACGGATGCGCAGTCTGTTGTCTTTGTGCTGCCCTCACACCCAGCCCATGCATGCACCTACTCCAAATTCATGCTCCAAAAATGGTCTCAGCCCAGCGCTAATGCGGAAACGGCTGCATAGGTGGGTGCCTCCCAAAATCAACATTCAAAAAGCACGGGCCGCCTTCCCAACGCATGACGCAGTCTCTGACGCGGGTGCCAACTAGGATGGTAGGCGATCGTGGCTGAGTACAGTTTATTGCGGCAGCCTATCAGGTTAAAGGGTCACCGAATGCAATGCAAACCGTGCGGTCTTCTGAGCCTACCGTATGACCCTAAACCCTGAAATCCTCAACTCATGCCCTCACCCTTTCATTTCCTAAGCTTCCCAGGTCAGAGACAGGGCACCAGATGTGACAGCTGGGATGGGCCACCTCCGAAGCCTTGCACGCTTGCAACGCTTTTGCTGCATCAGGGGCCTCATAGGCATATGGGGTTATAGGTACGGAGCTGTACGTGCGGAGCTGGAGGTACACACGGCAGCCTTCAGGCTTTTGCTGGCTCAGCATCACATGGGTTTGCTTTGGGAGCTCTTCATGATCATGCAGACATGCAATCTCTCTTGCACCGACATTCCAGTCGGCCGGTACTTTGCCCAGGAGAAATGCGTCGAAATCTGCTGTGTTTATTTACAATGTTAGCACATTATGGGATGCGGCAATTTGCAGCTAGTCATCGCATCTGGCACAGACAGTGTGTCTAAATCCCACAAAATAGACACGCAAACAAACAAAGCCTCCTGTGGGATCTTGGCAATGAGAAAGGAAAGCTGCCACCTGACCAGGCTGCCTAATTGTTGATGTTTTCAACTCTTCTGATGTGATCTCTGTACAGTCCCTGTGACCACTGCAGTCTCCACATGCCCCACCAGCAGGAGATGCAGATGAACGCACCTGAGGCGGCCAAAGGACTTCGCTGTATTCTCCCAAGATCTCCAGCGCGTGCGTGATCCAAAAAACGAACCATGGCCTGACCCACTCGGAAGTTCGCCTAAAGTGGTTGTGCCCTCGGATGTAGAGCTCCGCTGTTAGGAGGAATGAGAAGAATCTGTACCAAACTAAGTTTAGTAGATTGGCACATGGCAGGTTGCAAAACCATGTGAGGATTGCCAACTCAAGGACTCTGGCCTCCAACGTGGCAAATTCAAACAAGCTTGATGATCTGTTGGGATACGCCGAGATCGCAGTATATGTTTTCGGAAACGTGTCATAGGGGTGTCAATTTGACACGGGTGAGATTCCTTCTTGTCTGAAGTTTTGCAAAGCCATTCGTACAGTGGATTTGATGAAAGCCTTGCACACTGGGAGAAACATATGCCGAAACACATGCAGGAAGAGTATTTACAAGAATTTGGATCCCCTCACTGCGTCACGTATCACGAATCGAGGAAGACCCATGGTTTTTTTGCTAATGCCGGGCGCGCATGTTTCTAGCGCGCATTGGCGCAGTCCCAGAAGCTCTCAGTGCTCTTGATATGGCTGCATACACTGTGTTATCACCAAGTATGCTCCTACCCGAGTTTTGGTCCCATTCAGCTTTGAAATGACGCTTCGTAGTTACTTCAATCCAGTATGGAATCTTACCCCCCCTACGTCTGCCTGTAGTTTTGATCCTATCCTTGTATCCCGTGTTGAAAACTACATTCTTGAGGGGTCGTGGTCTGTGGCAAGAAAGACTTGTTCAAGGAGCTTGTATTGCTTGAGGAGAAGGAAGTCCGAGGGTTTCTGGGTATCGGGCTCTGCGCCATATCTCGTTATTGGTAATTCTGGAATAGTATGATGCCTTTATACCCACGATACGTCTTAGGAAACAGATGTAAAATGCGTCGATACGCTTGAGAAACTTATCCTGCAATGTGAGGGTCTTTAGGCCATACGTTAGAGTCGATAAGAAAACAGACTGGAAGATTTTGAGCTTGGCTTTGTTAAAAAGGGAGCTGTTCCAGAGAAGCCTTAGCTTTTTGTACGAAGACTCGGCGATACCTGCTCTATGTTTAAAAGCTGTGTCAAACCCTTTTTCCCAGCTGATAAGACTACCTAGGTATTTAACATGCGTTGTGGTCTGTACTGGATCCCCGTTTTGAAAGCGGACTTTAGGTGGGAACTTACGTGGGTCGGACAGCACTTCCGTTTTGGTTTGGTTAAGATGCATACCGTACATCTCTGCCTGCCTTTCTATATTGTGGAGCAAGTGCTCCATTTGCGTTGTGGTCAGAGAGATTAGCAAGGTGTCATCGGCATACTCTAAGTCGTACGTAGGACGTCCTACTGACCATGTGTTTGTAGCTATACCCTGATTAAGTAGCGACATGTCAACGTCCTCCAAGAGTACCGTCAGAACCATGATAAACAAGTAGGGGCTGAGGGGGCAACCTTGTCTGATACCTGAACCTACGCTACCCTCCGCCTGTTCTCCTTGCTGAGATAGAGTATGAAAAATTGGATCTTGATAAAGAGACCCTATGATGGAAAGGGCTCTGCTAGATAAGCCGAATCTCTGCAGGGCTACGAGCATGGCGTTGTGATCAATGCTATCGAAAGCTTGCTTCCAATCTAGAAACAAAAAATGTAACGGGGTAGCTGTCATTTCCGACCACTCCATTGCCCTACGGAGGATAAACAGGGGGTGAGTGGTGCTACGCCCTGCCCTGAATCCATACTGGGATCTACGAAGGTCTTGCTCATGTATGCTGGCTAGTCTGGCTTGTAGCATTGCAGCAAAAACCTTATAGATACCATTCAAAAGAGAGATTGGTCTGTAGTTAGAAGGGTCAGTGTCAACGCCCTTGCCCTTATAGATGGAGATAACAATGGCCTCTTTCCAGTCTTTAGGGACCTCCCCTCGTTCCCAGATGTCATTGTAGAATCGAAGTAGTTTGAGGGTATTGCAGTCATCTAGCAACAGAAACAGTTCGTTGCAGATCCCGTCTGGGCCTGGGGCCTTATTCTTTTTGATTTTGGCGATTGCTCCCTGCAATTCCTCCAATGAAAATGCGTTATGGTCGAGATTTTGTTGTCTCAGCGCTGCACGATCTTTAAGAGAGTCTAACTTGTCCTGGCTTACCCCACCTCCCTTCCACTGTTTTTGCTCGAGGTGGTCTCGGAAGGCCTTGTGTGTCTGTGACCACGGGACCGGCTTCCCGTCCACTAATAGTTGTGTCTTCCTACCCTGAAGCCCCGCTTTTGTGAGCGTATTGGTTCGCCACATGCTTTGCTGTTCCTGGCCTAACTCATCCGTTATTCGCACGTGTATCCATTGGACCCTGTCCTTTCGTGCCTTACGTTTTGCAACGTTACGTGCATGTTTCGCATCGTCCTCCTGCTTGGCCTCTTTGCGTCTGGCGATTTCCAATGCTTGCAGTGTCTCGTCCGATATCCAAGGGCGTTTTGGTCGTGAAACCTTTTGCGAGAAAGTTTGTGCGGCGGCCTCCTGAAGCGCTGCGGACCAGTTAGTTGCGGCGATTCCTGAGGAGTTAGCGGAGGGCTGTATGGACGGTGCTTGGGTACCTGTGCGTGTTACACTGATCCTGCCCTGGTTGGCTAACGCGTCTGCTCGCTTGTTACCCTCGTGTCCTGCATGGGCTTTGATCCACTGGGTGTGAACCTGGACCTGCTTGTTGCGAAGGATACCCTTGGCATAATTGACGAGGATTTTGTGGTGTTTGGCCTTCCACTTCCCGAGGATCACGTTCATAGACCATAGGCTGTCTGTTCGAATGGTGATTTTCTTCCAGGCGTTTTGGTGCGCGTATAGCATTGCTTCAATGATGGCCGTGAGTTCCCCGGTATTGTTAGAGCCCACCTGAGCCCCTTTGTAGTCTGCGTGCTCTGAGTCTACCACGACCGGTCCGTAGGCCTCCCGCCAGCCCGTGTCATCCTGCCAACAGAAACCCCAGCCTGCCGGAGTCTTGCGACTGCATCTACCCTGAGAGCCCGAACCATCTGTATAAACTGCGCGAACCTCGACTCTCTCTACGTCGGCGTTGTGGTCAGAAGTGTGATCTACGTCATCTAACAAATCTGCTAAAACCGCATTAAATTCCTTACGTGCTTGATCGTTGTTAAGAATGTTTAGCTGAGGGGGTCGCAGTGGCTTCTGGGTTCGAGCCTGGAGCCTCACCCCTACCTCTGTAACCAAAAGGTAGTGGTCGCAAGGAAAACCGGTGTGCAATTTAGATTGGCAACTGCAAATGGAATTTAACCATTGTCTTCTGGTGAAGGTATGGTCGAGTCTTTGAAAGAGAACTGGGTCTGCTTGGGGCAGGGTTTTCGGAGGAGTCAGAAGGTCAGGGAGCTCCAGAAAAGATCTGATGTGAGCAGCTAATCCAAGTGACGCCTCATAGAATTCAAAGTGCAGTTTGTCATAGAACTGTTGAAGGATGAGAGGATCCAACAAGAACTGCGACCAATCTTTAGGAGGAGCTGTCTTATCCCTGTACGTGATGTGGTGGATTGGGGAAGGCGTGCGGTAAGACGCCACTTCTAGCATGTTGAGTCTGGACATGGTACCGATGCATAACGAGCGATTGGAGGATGCGCTATGATCGATATACCTTTTGTGTGGCCTGGAACCTCACGTTGAAATCCCCTGCGACGTAGACCGGTTCTGGGGCTGGGATCTTAGCAATGTGTTCTTCAAGCGTGTCCCAAAAAGGAACCCGAACTCCCTCTTCATCCAAACCTGAGTGTGGGCCATATACCCCGATGACATGCATGTTACCACCTTGTTTTTTAAATGCCAAGTGGATAAGTCTGTTACTGACTTGAATAACATCCATGAGGTATGGTCTGAGCCAAGGCGATATGATTGCCCCAACACCTGCAAATCGATCGGACTTATTCCCCGACACAATAACAAGGTGTTGCTCTGAGGTATATGAGTAGTATGAGGTGGAACGGGTCTCTGAAAGAAGCAAAACCCCCAGTCTATGTTCCTGCATCAGCTGGATTGCATTCCTCAATTTCAATGTGTCTGCCATTCCCTGAACATTCAAAGATCCGAACTTAATTTTACTGTCGTAGGATAAAGGCGTTGTGGTCGGAAAGTTTCGAACTTTACGACCCTTCCTCCTTGTGTGGTCTTCTTGCCAATAGACCGTGTTGCGGAACCACTTTGCCCGGGTTAGGGCTGCGTTTTTGGGCTTGGTTAGAGCGGGATGGGGGGGGGCCGGCCCCTTCATCCTCTCCTGTTTCCGTTGTCTCTTCCACTGGCGGTAGGCCCGTCTGCGTAGCCTACGCCTAAGGGAACCCCTAGACAGCGGTATGGCTCTATCCATTTGGGGGAAACACTCTTCGTAACCCACTATATGGGTTCCCGGCGCGCCTCGTGGAGGCGGTGTTCGGCTGTCTAATGAATTATGGTATTCCTGAATTCTGTGAATTCCCCTATCCCTTGAGGATGGGTTATGCTTCTTTTTCCTATAAATGATGTTACCATTGGGGAGAATGATTTTTAGTCTGAGCCCTGATCTTCTGTTAGGATTTTTCGGCTTATTGAGATTTATTATTGGCGTTGTGATCAAAGGGGGTTGGCTGCGGTCCTTAGTTGTAGCAATGCTTTTATAGGACATTAATGTTTGCCGATCATATGTAAGGTAATTGCTTAGGGTTGGTGGGGGAATAAGTTGACAAAGGTTCAGGAAAGCTCTGCCATAGATTTGACCGGATTGAGGATACAGTTTTAAAGTAGTATTACCATGTTGTGAGTGCATAACCTTATTCCTATTTGCCTGGAGTACTAAACTATAGTCATCCATCTGAAGAGTTGCGATCAAGGG